CATACATAGATAGGTATGTATGCTCACGAACATTTTGAGATTTGCCTCGCTATTGCCATACGGAATTAGCATTTTTATAATATGTATGTATGTATGTATTTACATATTTTTCTTGATCTCTTTAAAATTCCACTTACTTGCTTTTGTTGTTTCTCGCAATTGGCGTCCAACCCACACTGCTTTTTCCATAGCAGCAGCAGCCCACCCGCCTTCCCATCATAAACCTATGTATGTACATATGTATTTTATTAGTTAATCGCTTGTATGCTCACATTTCTAGGCTCTCTTTGCCACATTCTCTCTTCGCACACTTTACTTTGCCGCACTCTTAAGCCTATTCAGCCGTGTTGTGCCTTTGCTCGCCAATGCAATACAAGTCAACACGTGCTTTTATTACAGCAAACTGCGCGCCCTTACTCCCCCCACGCGACTACTACCAAGCCGACGGTCACTCACTGCATAAACACTCACACAAATGCAACACTCACACTCAAAATAAAAAAATTAAAAATTACGTATACGTTTCGTACAACGCTAGCGTTAATTTTGTTTAGTTGTGTTGGTTCACTCGTCACAACGCAACGATTTCTAGCTCAGCGAGTGATGCATGATGCAACTTATTCTTGCCCATTCGTTGTCTCTGCTAATTTATTGTTGTTGCTATATTGTGGTTCAGGGCCGGCCGCAGTATTTCTCTTTAGGGAGCCGTTTATGTAAAGTCATTCGTAACAACCAAGAATATCATTGTTTTATTTAGAGTATTCAGTATATTGTATTTAATTGTGAATATAATTTAGAAAAACTTAATGAAAAGGTACATGCTATTCACCGAGGTATAGATAAAAATTGTTTTAATGCTGAGTCAACATTAACATCCAGATTGGGATGTATATAGGGAAAAGCTAGCCCATTGTGTGGAGCGAAGGGTATTATAGACCACATAAGAAAAATTTTCTGTAGAATAAACAAAAGTAGAAAAAAAATTTGGTACGGCAAATGTTAAAGCTATTTTTGATAGAAGTTTTTGTTCTGATTACGAATCCGAAAGCATAAAGTTTCCGTCAGCTCCAGATTTGGAAAAAACGAAGTCAAAGTGTCAAAAATTCATGTTTTTTTTTCATTACTTTAGAAGCTCTAGTAAAGAAAAAAAACGATAGCTTATATTCCATACCATCAATCTGCAATTTTCACAGAAACTACTTTGTGATGTTAGAACCAATCTAGGACATATACGACATTTCCACGATTCGTAACTCGCTCTCTAAGTAATCCGCCAGGTAATTCGTGAATTACCTTGTTTCCACGCCACGTTATATCCGAATCTCGTTTGTGTCAAAAGTGCAGAGAGAGGATATTGAATATAAGCCTCGAAAAGGTGTTAGAACCTTCCTGGCTTAAATTAAAGCTAGAACTCTCGACTACTATCTTAAATATTTGAGATCTTAAAATATGTTTTACCATTATAATCTTAAGCTAAATGATGGACAATTTTTATGTATATTTCCCTCCAACAGGGGGAGGTTTAAACCCCCAAAATCCCGCCTCCCCTCCTTGCGGCTTTAAATCGCTTATGCTTTTTTTCTGCTTTTTCCTTATCCCCAACAGGGAAGTCAGAAATAGAAGGGCATTGCCATTTGCATGCTATTTTTATATACAACCACAGCGAGCGTCTGGTGTTGCGTTCTCTTTTCCAAAATCGCTAGTGCTCTCTTTGATTAGACGCATTTTCTCATTCATTGCCGTAAGATTTTACTTGGGTAGTTTTATGCTTCGTATGCAATACACACACACATACTTACACTGATACACTGATACATACTTATTTAGGTGCATATGTATGTATATTCAATTTTTTTATTATCTTACTTGCATTATTTTATTTTGGTTTTGTATTTGTTCCTTTCTTTTGTTATTCGTTTTGATCTGTTTTGTTTTGTTATTTCATGTTTGCATTTTTATTTGCCTTTTGTTTTTGTAAATGTGTTTCTTCGGCGACTTGCGTTTTCTTTCAAGCCACTTGCTTATTTGTCTCAGTGTTTGTATCTAACTGGG